CCCTTACATGAAAGGTGCAAAACTGCACAAGAGAATTGTCTCATAACACCACGAGCTGTTGGTTATACCCTCAACACTGTTACAAAACCAGGTAGCAGTTTCAGAAAGGCCATTCCTCCCTTTTGGTTTTGTGGAGGGTTTTTAAAATTTTTTATTTTTTCTTTAAACGAGCAGGGCTCTTCAGACCACTCCACCCACAAGGCTGCCCAGGCAGTACTCATGAAGACAGCAATAATTCAGCCTTGGTAGCTCTGCTTCTCTGAGCCAACATCACCTTCACGGATCCCCGCTAGCAGGGTGAGCCCCAAGTCAACGCTGCCCTGGCTGCAGATTGGTGAGAGAAATCAAAGTTAGCTGTAGCGCTCCTTGTTAAGTAGTTTTAGTAATTGTAATTAAGTGTGAAATTGAGGTATTTGCATTTACTCTTAATTTTTTTTGCGCGTAGTGTGATTGTGTAGAAGTTACAGCTGTAGCTTGATGGACCATCTGAAATCAATGCAAGCTGAAAACGGGAGTTACCCAGGCCCTCGGATTATAAACACAAGCAGGATTCAAAACACTCAGTCTACAACAATAACCCACTGACTTAATGAACTTGAAACATCCTATTAAAAAAAAAAAAAAACAACCCAGAACGAGAGGTTCTCAGGAGCATGACAAACTGACAGGTACAATAACGTGTGGGTTGGACAAAGCACTACCAAGGAAACGCCTTGATCTTGAACTGTGGCCGCCAGATCACAGAGCGGTCTGGAGGGAGGACATCAGGTTCTCATCCGATCGCTGCTTTTAGTCAACGGTCCCAGAATATCCTATTACTGACAGAGGGTGCACACAGCTACCACAGGCATTAGCTGACTGCTCAACTATGCCCCTACAACATATAAAAATCGAATGACAAAGCAGATGATTAAAGAGAAAGAATCAAAAAGAAATTAAAGCTGATATCTTAAGTTACATCAATTTGCCTTTTGTCCTCCTGAGCAGCTAGGTAGGGATGGTGGAACTAAATTAAGAAGAAAATTGTAACCCTGCTCTTTTTATCTAACCTTGATGTTAAACACCATTTCATGTCGTCATCGCAGCCGTTACCTTTGGCACAAACCCCGGCCGCTCTCGCTTTTCCGAAATCTTATTCCTTGTTAAAACCCAGGAGAAGTTTACAAGGGGGTTAGCAGCTTGGTTAAAGGCATGTTTGGGGGGGTCTGTAGTTAGCGCAGTCCACAGCATAGATGGGGCTAATTTAAACCTGTGCTCTTTTGGTAAACACGTTAGGAAGAGCAAAAGGGTTAAAAAATACTTAAACTTGCTAAAATATGGAGCCACACAATAGCCAAAAGCTATGGAAATAGAAGACCACAAAAAAACCCCACCCAAAAAAAACCGCTTTCAGAATGTAAAAGGGGGCAAGAAATAATTTCAGGTCTACTAAATAAAATATCTTCAAAAGCTCTTTTTTGTTTTAAAGACATCACGGAGATCATAATCAATCAGTCTGGCTACTTAGACATACAGCGCCCCATCGGAGGATTTAGCAAAAATGAAGTACTAAATTATTCAGCATTTAAGCAATCGTGTAAGGAATATGTAGCTGTAAAGGACAAAATGCAAAACAAGACTATTTTTCTGCTACTTCAGTATATACTGAATATTGCACCCTGCCTTTGTGATGAAAGGCTTTCAGAGTTTTAACAGGGCCTTCTAGGGAGATATATAAATGTTTTTTTTCATGCACAGAATTGAGATCCCAGCTTTTAATCTCATAGTTTAAGAAGTTTGACTTAAACCCAACATTTTCACTGTACTTAAAGCGATGTTTTCTTTCTCAGCTAGGTCACCTTTTGTTGTTGTTATTTAAATCTGCCCTGCTCTGTTACAAATCCATATCCTGTTAAGCTTATAACGAAATATGTATTAGGAAAGTCTTATCTTTGGATACACGTACTACACACATGTAATATATGCATATGTCCAAGGAATCTCAGAGATAACCCTGTTCAGGCAAACACTACATTTTCAGAATGACAAATTTAAATTACTAAGCTTTAAAATGTTGGTTCCCTCAAACAGTTTGCTTTTTTTTTTTTTTTTTTTAGCTGTAACGTACACACATTAGATGAGATTTATGTTCTCCAAGAAAACTTCTGATGAATTTTGGATATGCTTTGATACATCAGCTCTAATCTTCTGGAAGATTTTCCCTTTTTAAGTCTTTCTCAAGATTCATAATCAACATTTCAAATGTCTTACAAAACATGAACACAAGCCTATTAGTCCCCAAGACTGCGTCACAGCAGTTAACAGGCAAAAGAACAGTGACAAAATGGGCATTATTTCACACAATTTCATACAATTTTCCTACACAACTCTAAGAATAAAAAAAAAAAAATCATGTATCAAGCCATTAACACACAGGCAGGAGCCCATAGCACTGGAATTCATATAGAACCGACTGGAAAATTTTGTGCCGACACCTGACAAAATGGAAATTGCTGTTTGCCAGTGCATGCATCCCAAGGTCACAGTATTAAACAGCATCAAAATAACTCATTAAGATGATAAATTTTGTCCCAAGTCCCCATCTCTTTTATTCTAGCATCGAATCTAGCATTGAATTTCCTTCTGGCAGCTGCACTAAAACACTAAACCATTCTCAGAGGTTGAATGACATGGTTTCGGCATCACGGTTTATTGACTCATGACGGATGACCAGCACACATTTCAAGTCTTTGATCACTGGTAGAGATTCTTACTTATTTTTCAAATGTTTATGCCAAATGTCTAAACTAAAATCTAAGCCAAACAGTAATGATTAAAACAGTAAGACATCAACTCCACCAAATTTAATATTAGGATTTGTTTTTAAAGAGAGTACTTTTTGAAACTTCATACCGAGCATGGTTTGGGTAGTTAGCCACAGGACAAGCAGGAATTCTGTACTGAATAAAACTCCACGACATGTTAGTACTAATTTAAATCAATTTCCACAATGAGCTGATAGTATAGAGTCTGTTGAGCAGAATTTGAGGTGTTCTGCCCAGTTTGAAAACAGACAAAAGTTTGAAATCCGCCCTGCCTTTGTGATGAAAAGCTTTCAGAATTCTAAACCCTTCCCCCCCCCGCCCCTTAAAATGTCAGAAATCAAAACACAATTCTGACAGATTTAACCCATCCACAGCTACGTAAATGGACAATTCTCCATTACTTTCGGGACTGTTCAAAATAAGTCAAACTTGACAAAGTAAATGCCTATACCACACACATTAAACTTACCAGTTTGTTTTTTCCACTACTTTTCTAAATATGTTTTAAAATGTTGGGAGGCCGGGATTTTTGTAAAGTCACCTTGACCCTTCTGCAGTAAAAATGATAAAGTGCACCGCAAAAGACCTCTATTAAAGGCCTAGACTTTACCGTGCTGAATGACTGAACTATATGCAATCTTCATTTTTACATTGCTCAACTTTTGAGCAGTTTTTAGAGATCTTGACGTGCATCTCCTTCAAAACTTGGGAAAACACAACTCAAAACATAACAGAAATGGGCAGAACACCCCCTGCACCTGAGCTGACCACCTTTCTGGTGGGATGGCAACGGGACTGGAACCCTTTGGCTTATGGCACAGGCTGAGACTTCCAGCCTGGAGGTACCTGCCACAAGAGCAGGCTGCTAGCCACCCTTTGAGGTCTGCCACATTTTGCTGGAGGATTTTGGCTACCTCCCCGTTACAAGCCACGGCAAGACTCTTTACCTCCTCTACAGTCAAACTGGACAGCTGCTTCTTGACTGAAGTAGCTTGACCTGTAAGGGGTCATTTAATTCAAGAAAAAAAAAAAAGAACTCCTACACTCACCTCCTGTCCCTGAAGACACCCTGCTTTCAAAGGGCTGTTACAGGGAATATTGCCGGGCTCCAACTGACAGGACTGGCTCACTTGCTTAGACGGAGCATGGTGAAGTCATGTGCAATTTCCCTACTTAGGGAAAAAAACACCCTATCAACTGATCTCCAGAACCTATACAGGAATTGCTAATAATTCCACTGAATTAAAGGCCCGAGAAAGTCACAGCTTCTGTCTCAATGTTTTAAAACAGGTATGTTTGAGATCACAGTGGGGGGTTTTGGTTTAAATTTGGCAACATAACAACTTGACACCTACCCTTTTATCAGGGGAAACAGAGAACCACAACAATTGCCCTGCTCAAGACAAATATAAATACAAGGCAAGTAAGCATTTGACAATTACTTTTTTTTTTTTACCAGTTGTTATAGGTGAATTCAAGTCAGAAACGTGAAACACTTGGTTCTTCTCAAAGGATATTTTGCAAAGTAGTAACCCAAATACAGAATGCATCTTGGCATGTATTACAATGAAAAAGTGTTGACATACATTCACACTTTATTACTGGTACTTTATTCCTTAAAAAAAAAAATAAAAAAAGAAAGGATCCACACATTTGCCTTACTGCAAACTCCTTGCTTTCACTGAGAAGTACTTACCCTTGCAGGCAATCCCACACAAATCAATGCTTCCTTTCCTTAGATGTCACATTAAACTACTCAGGTTTTAAGTGTGTGAATGGGATTTACTTATGCTACAGCAGGTTGCAAAGACAATTGTCTGTATTTATGGAGCAAATGTCAGAAAACACAGAGAGAATGACATCTCCTTTAAAGTAACTGCAGACAGTACAACTGGCATATTTTGAAATTGAGGCAACAATATTGGACCAGCAAATGAAAATCTACTGTTAGAGACGGAGTTAATGTACTGCTTTCTTCTGCAAAGCAGAGATACCCTGGTGTTTTTTCCCTTGTCCTTTTTAATTCAGTAACAGGTAGCTACATGAAATGCCAATGTTGCCACCAGATAACTTATGTACTCAACTTTTGCATTCAATGAATCCCTTAAGATTACATATAATGTCGGGTTTCAGTAGTACACTATTTAAGAAGACCTATCCAGCAACATCCATGTATATTAAAAATACACATGCACATTTTTGCAGACTTGCAATTTAATATATTTTCATCATTCACTACAAAAATGTGGTTTCACAACTGCTACCATACACTGGGACTCCTACAGTAGTATGGAGAATGTACAGGTGTCTTTCCTAGAACCGGCAATACTGCGCATTGTGCAAATCGTCAAGGACTCCAATCCTTTTTGAGTAGCAGTTAAAGAAAATTTGTGGGTTGAATACTGATATCAAAATACAGATTTAAATAATTTACTCTTAAAAACATTCATATTTATAGCCTCTTACAGAAAATAAACAATTCATCTGACTATCAGATATGTCCTCAGTTTTTCCAGTTCCAAGGTATACACAGGTCTCCATCCTGCAGCACAGAGTAGAAGTGCGAAACGCAAAGGTGCATGCCTTGTAGGTATGGCAATGATTCTTCCAGCAGTCGCTTACAACAATCTATCATCTGTGCACTGGAAACACTGGGTTCCTTATACAGCCGATCCAAAGAAAATTTTTCAGTGGAAGTATCGATGAGCTCTTTTTCTGTAATCATCATCCTAGCAAATGAAGACAACATACAGTGACAAAATTAAAACTTAATCTCGTAAAAATCCCCTTAAAATAAGTATATTTGTAGGATACATGCATGTGAACAAGGTATCACTTCACATACAGCTATGGCACAGCTGAGATTTTTGTGCAGGTTGATACCCATGTCTACCTCAGAGGCTAGACTGAACACACTTCCATGACTGTGGGCACCAGCAAGCCTACAGTGTCACATTTGAAAGCCTGCACCACGACATTTTTTTGCTCACCAGGTAATGGAGAAAAATACCAAAACCCTATGAGGCTCACTTTTTCATGTAAGGGATGAAAGTACTTAAACAACCTTGAAAGTTTAAGCTTTAAGAATAAAATCACGTCAGTAACTACTCTGTCTTCTTAACTAAGACCAGTACTCTGCATGTCATCAAAACCAACGGATGACAGGTACAGCCACCTGATGCATATTAAATGTGTTAATAACTTATTAATTGCAGGAAGTATACGGAATATTGAATTTGTAGCTTGCAGATGATTTTTTCCATTCACCCCAGACAAAGAGTTGTAAGACTCCACATGGCAAACTCAAGCTACTCAGAAATAAAGTTAATGTGCAGAATGAATTAAGAGTCACTGGAACTGTGGATCGTCTTATGCAGAGACAATTCAGGTACAGCAAGACATACTAGCTTAGGCACTGTGCCATATTAACACAGCTGTACTTCTTCCATAGCCAGCTTGGTTATAGAAATAGCACCATCACCACCCAACAACACAGATGTTGAGCTAACGGGGCTAACGCTGAGCAACTCCAACCTGACTTTGTGAGAGGAGCTACAAAGCAGCAGCACGTTTGCAGAGCCACTGGGATGTGAATCTGCCCAAGCTAAGCATGGACACAGCTACTCATACTATGTGACTCACATAAAATCGCTACCGAAGGAGCTCAACGCCACTCTCCCCAGAGGTCTCTTTGGGATCTCCACATACCACACTCTGCTGAGGCACTCAGATCACTCTGTAAGAGCCCAGCCCAGCTCTGGCAGTCAGGGATGAACTAAGCCAGCGAGTTAACCTGGAGTAAGCCTGCCCTCTCTACTGACTGTACCCACACCACTCTCCTGAACACGGTCTCCAATACCTGAGCAGCAAGCTTTCCTGTTCTGTGAAATCTCAGGCTCCCCTGAAGGATATAAAGATAGCTGCACATAGTGGGAACTGCAGGTTTATTTTCAGTCACTTCTATAAGGAGGCTTACACCTCTACCACAATTCAAAACTGGTAATTTACAACAACAAGGGAAGGAGAACTAGATTCATACTAAATCCTGCATTATTAGCAAACTGACATTATCCACACAGATAAGACCATTTTCTAGAGCAGTAGCATCATCTGAACTCTCCAGTGCATCAGGTCATACAGGATGCCAGCTACGCTATACTATTTACTGGATGTAAAACATTCATCTACTTGTGCACAGTAAATCCAGTACATCTCAAAATATTTTCCTTTATCTTAGAGTCCCTTTAATAACCACAGGAGGCTAAGTAAAATCAGAAGTACAGAATGGGTTCTGTCCAAGGAAGTATTAAGTGGAAAAGGAGTTTTCAGCTTCAATAAAAAGACAACTAAGGTGAAATATGACATATCCACCAAAAAAAGTAGAGGTGATAAATACAGAATGACTGTTTTGTATTTCCTACGGCACAAGAACAAGAGAATGCCAAACGAAAGCATCAAGCCATGGGTCTATAAAGCAAAAAACACCTCTTCCCTCTTTCATATACACATGGTATATGTAATTCAACTGTGCAATTTGCTGCCATGGGATATCTTGGAGCCACAAAGTGCAAACTGGTTCAAAATTAGACAATTAAGAGGGGAAAAAAGGACATCTATTGAACACTCTTAACATGAGATAATGTTTCCAGCTTCAAGTATTTTTTCAATTGCAGTCAGTCAGAAACTGGGAAGGAGTAAAAAACCCACCACATTTTTTGCCCCATTCATAGTCTTTCCGTAAGCTAACTGATGATGGGGACAGACCTCCAATATGACCCGGAACAGCTGTTCTTTACTATTTTATACAAACCAGCAATCATCCAACACACAACAGAAGAGCTGAGATATTTAGCTTGGCTCTTACATTCTTACAACACAGCTGCTTACACTCTGAGGGGAGCCCCACAATTCTTTCACTGCTAGCCTAAAGATGACATTCTTCCTGGATTAGCATGTTCATAATGTGGTGTAGCATGAGATTTTTTGAAGACCAAGTTACCCAGATGCAAATGCATGCATTTGCTACATCCCTCCCCACCTCTACAGACAATACTTTCCCAGCTGTTACATATGGACAGCTACATAGATGGCTATTCAGCAGTTACTATATGGCAAAAAAAATCTCAACTTCAAAGCTGGACTAGGGTTATGGAAAAATTTCAACAAACCTCCATGTTTTACCAAAGTCCATCTCCAAAATATATCCTCCCAAGTAATCAGATCTTAACAGAGCTAAAAGCATAAGGTCTTCAGTAAGACTCATGCCTAAAATAACTTTCACCAAAAAAAAATAAAAATCTGGATCTATATACCATGCATACACTCATGACACTGTGATATTTCAACAATTCATTGAAAGCTTTCCAAAGCAGAAAAATAAACTTGTAGTAACAATGTCTAAAAGGACAGTAATAGCCAGTTACCTATCACAGTATTTTATTCAAAATAAAACCACCATCTCTACTTCATGCTCTTAATCCTCAGAGACACATACAACACAAGGTCAAGACAAAATTTGCAGTTCTAAGTGACATTATTAAATCTGTGACTTGTAATAAGTATGGTACTACGACTCACTATTATCATCTCTCTCATCTCACTTGCATCTGTGAAAGGGTACCAAGGAGGTATTTCTCTCATCATTCTACTCCATTTTTTTCTTCTTCCCCTTGTTAGGTGCTAACTAATCTTTTCCTCACCTGACTGACAACAACTAGAAATAATAATTCTCTAGTCGGTCTCAGTTATTTTTAGTTTAGATTTTACTGTTTTCTTGTCACAGTGTTAGTAACATTAATATAAGTTTATTGCTTTTCTTATTCAATAAAAATGCCTTTTCCTTAAAAAACCCCACCTGTCCTTTGGGGAAGTAGTTGTAAAAAAAATGACATAATTTTGTCTTGTAAGCAAACATCTTTTATTTCTGAATAAAGTACAACTGTTTCTACAAGGTGAAGGATGGGTATTTTCTAACAACTGTTTTGTTCACTGAATGCTGAAATTTTTAACTTAGTAACACTGATAGGTACAGTTCTATTTTATAAACAGCATTTTTTTCCACCACAAGAGCATGAATACATTGTTCAAAGTTCTCCTCCTCCTCCAATTAAAACATATGATATGCAAAGATTTTCATGAGCTAAATGTGTTTGGTCACGTAAACACTTACTCTTCCTTTCTTTTCAGATTCTCTCTTGCTTCCTGTGCTTTGGCAAAAATAAACCATTGAAGGGTTGCTGGATCACAAACTGTTGGGATCATAAAGTGTCCAAATTCATGTAAGCTTGGTGCATATCTGTCACTAATGATACATGATGGAAATAAAAAACAAGGTATCATTATTTTTTTATACAAATATTTACATGAATTACTTTCAGAATGAAGATAAAAGAATATCAAATAAACACAAGCAGAATAACTGGTAAAAAATTAATCAAGTTTGGTTCATGAGAATACAGAACCATCATACATAAAGCTTTTTAAAAATTACATTTCAAAAGCAACTCTGTTGACTACACTAAAAAAATATAAACAGCAGCACCATCATACACAGCTGAGTGTTGACCTGACAGCATAAAAGCTTTAATTTAACCCTGCACAACTGTATGATAAAGACAGAACTTTGATTCTAACTGAAGAAAATCTGCATATTTCATTCAAATCTGACTCCTTCTTAACCCATAGACACACTTAAAACCTTTAAGAAGACTTTGACATAGTTAAAATCTGAGATTATATTAGTTTTCTTCTTACTGAGCTTAATAATCAGAGTAACGAAAAAAAAAAAAGAAAAGACTAAAGTCTCTAAAAGGAAGAAACCTCTCCTGCAAACACCTACCTTTCCAGAATCATTTGCAAGCCTCGCAGACTGCGAGGATGAAAAGGTAGTCTACTGTCACGTAATTTATTATAGAAAGAGTCCAGAGTCTCGTAGTACTCTTCTAGAGTCAATAGGGGTTGCAGTTCTTCAATATATATTACTTGTATGCCTCCCAGAAGTTGGCTTATCCGATCTTCCAAGAACAGTAGCCTTTTTTGAAGTTTGTAATAATTTGGCAATCTCTCAAAAATCTGTGCACACACACAAACATTTCCCATGTTAGAAAGCATGTAACTTAAGAAATGAAAAAAAGTAACAAAAAAATAAAAAAAAGAAAGACAACACAAACATGGAACACGAGGAAAAAATAATCAAAGAATACAAATAATCAGAAATATCAAGTATATATATTTTAGGGCAAGATATAATGGAATAAGCTCGTAAGTATTTTCAGTATTTATACTATAAAGGCACCAAAAGGATTGTTGTATGCCCTTTATCTCTCTATGTACAGAAATTAAGTCCCAGATCAAAAAAAAAAATTATAATCTGAGGCCTACATAAAATGTTTATCACCACAGTTATAGTGGTAGAGCTATTCCACATACAATCAAAAGTGGTTTTGCTCTCTATTGCTGGAACAACTAGTTCTTTCCAAGGGTTTGGGTGATAACCTAGCTCCTCTAGAGTCTGAAGGGAGAGGAGAAAGGAGGACAGTACCAGACCTCTAATTTACGAAACTTATGCCAGAAAAAGTTAAGAAGTGATCAGACTTGTAAGCTGAGACATAGAAGGTGTGATAGGGAGAAGGCCAGAACAGGGCAACAAGTGAAAAAGTCTGTAGTAATAGTCACTACTTACCATCTACCCAGTTATTACTAAAACACAGTTTTCCATACAAAAAAATACTGCTGCTGGAACAAGTCGAGTGATTACAGAATTATCTCTTTAGAAAACTAAGATAGTTGAAGAATCAGAACAGCTTTTGGCACAATAAAATCCATTGGTTCAGCATTTCCATTTGTTATAGAGAAAAACCGCAAAAATCCTCTACATACCGTGTCTCTGACCAAGCATTCTACAGACTGACTTGGACTCTATTCTACTGCTTCCTTTTTCTAATAATTAGTAACAAAAGTACTAGTGCTTAGAACTGCTTTCTAAAATGGGTTAGAACGGGACAAAAAAAAATTTGGTCTCTCAAAACCAAGTGGCCAACCAACCTCACCAAGATTTTCACTGACTTTCTGCATATCACTTGTAATCTTCAGTGCATTTTAAAAGAAAAAGCCCTTGATTTAAGGTTCAAATACATACATCTCCTCTGTCTTCCAAAGCACACACCATCACCACAACCAACTCAATACTTTGTGCAGATGTACGACCCTTTCAGAAGCTCCCTCAGCAAAAGTTAGGAAGAGGAAGCATTTCTCTTTTCAAGGAAGACAGAGTGATTTTTTTTTTTAGAATTAATCAGAAGAACACTTTTATTCCAATGGCTAATGACACCCACAAATCTCAGAGTACAAAGTTTTGCATTACATTCTAGTTTCTCAGACTAAGTTCTTTGTAAATAATTCACATTAACAAACCATAGTATGCTTTCCCCCTCAGTGAAATACATAGGCAAAAATTCAAACAACTACCAGAGAAAGCTTTGGACCAAGTGCTAAATTTTTGTATTATTCATTGATTAGAAGACAGAAAAAGAATATTCTGATAGTCTAGCTGGGTGAAATTCCCAAATATGAAATTCCACCAATTATCTTCTTTACAAAGAAATATTTTTTCATAGAGCTATCAATACGATTTCAGCAACAAAGATTCAAGAAAATTTCCTCAAGTTACGTGTTGATATCTCTACACATTTTATTTGTCGCCCTTTGCATGCAATACTTTATCATTCAGGATATCGCAAAGTTTGTCAATTCCAAACGTTACACAAGCAGCAGCAGAATTTGCATGGTCACTAAAGATAAATTTCTGCAGCATCCGCATTATCTGCCTAAAAGAACAAAGTGGAGTGACAGGGTTGGTTAGCAGCCGTTGACCGAAGCGATCACTTGACAACTCCCTTTAAGTCCCATTTTTACAAAAAATCTGAATAAAATTCCTAAACTCTTCATGGGAATGAGCTCTTCATAGATAATGAAATATTCTGCTAGTGCTCATTGCACAGACTGGAAAACTGCACAACAAATTAGTTTTCGTTATATCTAATCAGGGGTAGGACTGATTTGTTAGTGAAAGCAGCAGTAAAGATCTGACAAAGACTGTTGTTAGCAACAGTATATCACAGGATTAAATTTAGAATGCAATGTACACAGTTATGCTAAACATAGTAGGTATTTCCTTTAAACTATCCATCAGTTATCTGCACCAATTAATATTTTGGTTATAGTTTAAAAAAAAAAAGGATGTCATAACAACAGGCATTATGTTTTACTTTGAAATCCTCTTACTTTGGTCCAGTGATGGTGAACATCCATGGTCCCCAGCATTATGTGGCCTGCTGCGCTCATACCTGAACGGTCTGTAAATACTACCGTGCGTCCTAAAGATTGAACAAAGCTCTTTACTAATTTGGGTTATTACAATTATCCCCACAATTATTTAAGGCTTAAATATGTTATTAACCTGTCACAAGCAACACAGTTCTGCAGCACAAACACACACAAGTAGGTGCTTTTGTTATTCTCAAAATTTGGAGTGATTCTTGACAACTACAGTTCAAGAATTTTTTTTCGTACAAACCTTATCTAGCATTTGCCTTCTCCCTGTTTAAACTTGATAGATTTTTAGTTAATTGGACTTTTTTCTTACTAAGATTACTTTTAAAATAATAGAAAATCTCAGCAGACAGCATATTCAAAGAATCCGTACAAATCACGTATACGGTAGAACATATATCCTATATGCTTAAAGTATCTATCAAGAAGGTAAGGGCTGGTCAAAGAACTATTAGCACAGCCATTCAACAGTACTTCCACAGAACTCTCTGCAATATGCAAGCCATGAGAAGTGCCTTCACATCAGGTGGTTTCTTTTTTTTTTTTTTTTTTTTTTTTTAAGAAAGAATAGAGACAACATAAAAGGATAACACTAGGCTTAGTTTTTGGGAGAACAAATCAGTTTTGAGTGAGTGTGAGTTTGGGTTTGTTTTGTTTTTTTTAAATTGAATGTCCTGGTTTCAGCTGAGGTAGAGTTAGCTTTCTCCTAGCAGCTGGTACAGTGCTGTGGTTTGGATTTAGGATAAGAATAATATTGATAACACAGATACTTTAGCTGCTGCCCAGCAGTCAAGGACTTTTCAGCTTCTCATACCGCCCTGCCAATGAGAAGGCAAGGGGCACCCAAGAAGCTGGGAGGGGACACAGCCAGGGTAGCCGACCCAAACTGGCCAAAGGGATATTCTATACCATATGACATCGTTCTCCATATATAACTGGGGGGTTGGCAAGTTGCTTGGGAACTTGCTGAGCATTGGCTTCAGGTAGTGAGAAATTGTGCTGTTCAACGCTTGTTTTGTATATTATCTTCCTTTTCAGTCCTATTAAAGTGTCTTTATCTCAACCCATGAGTTCTACTTTTTTCCCCCGATTCTCTCCCCCATCCCACTGGGGGGAGGGAGGAGGCAGTGAGCAAAAAGCTGTGTGGTTGTTTTAGCTGCTGGCCAGGTTAAACCATGACAGTGAAGTACAAAGATTCTCAAGAATTCTTTAGGGTGAGAGCACAGACGATTATTTATCAAAACAAGCTTCCACAAAAGTCTTCAGTGGGATATATTAATCTACAAGACTAGGCTTAATAGAAGCTCCTGCTCTCAGAAATCAGTTTTTCAAAATCCTTAAGAAAGAGCAACACTGACTATAAGGCATCTAGTCCACCCTTGCACCCTAAGGCAAGATCAATTGTATCTGTTTAATTACTGACAGGTATTTGTCCAGTATATTACTAAAGATCTTCGAAGATGGAGACTACAACAGGTTCACAAGACAGACTTCTTTAGCACTTTAAATCCTTAGCATGCTTAGGTAAAGAAACTAATTTGAAACTTGATACAATTTAAAACTACTACTTATTGTCCTACCCACTCTGTCTTTTGACAAAGGATTAGGTGAACCCTCAAATGAAAGCCACTCAAAACTGAGTATCTGCAGACAGGCATAAAATGTGGAGTTACAAACAGTGCTAACAGCTACTGCCAGAGGTCAAACAGCTGTAGGAGAAGAATGGTAGGTCAGGCTTACAGAATACTTCAGTTTTTCCTAAGATGATGTAGACTTCAATACAGGTATTTTACGGAACATGCATGATAGGAGAAGACAATATGATTTTAAAGGTATTCTACTAAGTCCTCCCTGTACTTGCTCTTTAAAGAGCTACTAGCATTTTTGTCTTGAATCTACCATGGGTAACAATCCAGTGCTACCTCCAGCCTTTCAGAGATTCAGTCTGGATTTTTTACTTTCATTGCTAGTACTAAGTCTAGTGCCTTCAACTCACTCAGTTTGCATTTATTGAGAAGTAAAATAGAAGCTGAGTGTAGTGAATGCACTGTAAGGAAAGGTCACTTTAAAAAAATACCCAGCAGCTGTAAGTTCTCACCAGCTTTTCAGTAAGCCTGGCTGGGTTTTTTTGCAGTTATCAAAAGCATTCATGAAAAGCACTAGAGCTCCCTTGTCACAGAAGACTCACGCTCATCTTTGAATCAATACTCTATTAGGATATATGAAACAAGCCACAGAAATACCTTTAACATTCTTTAATACTTCAGGTCTCTGTTGGACCAAGCGACCTAGACTGTGTAGTTGGCTACAGCGGTGAGCAATACCCCAGCTTCTCTGCCACCTAAATAAAAATACAATTGAAAGCATTTCATTCTCAGCATTATTAAAAACAAAACACAAAACCAACTCAAACAAAACAACACTTCAATGGTAATAAAAGCAAAGGCCTATGGAAAAGCTGTCCATGTCATATGCTATTTTAACACATAAAAGCCTAAAGAAAATTTCACAATCTCTGTTACAGTGAAACAAAAAAAAAGGGGGGGAATAAAAAGAGATACAGTAAAAATAAATACAAAACATGGTAGACAGAACAGAACTTGCAAATTTCTCACCCAATAAGCAGGGGGTTAGCAAGTAAATAGCAACAGACAACCCAGTATTTGGTTCAGTCACATGGCAGAGTCTCTGTACACTATGTAGTGTTTCTCTAGAGGAGCAAATACTGTATATAAGGACGTTGTCGCCTTCCCCCTGCCCCTTCAGTTCCTAGTCGAAAATACTACTATGATTCCTGTGTTAAATTGATATATACATAAAAATCATATTTTACAGTGGAATAATTTTTGTACCTATATTAACACATGTTAAACCAGAAGCCAGGTATTACATTGGTGACTTTAATATACATAGTTTTGACATCTCTTCCACCACAGACAGATCAGACAAACTCCTAATTACTTTTCAAAAAGCATTTAAATTGTAAATTTGTCTTGTGTATTGAAAATTACATCCTTTATGAAACTTCTAGCTGATATCAATTTGTCTTGTAATGGGGAATTACCATTCCCTTATTGTACTGGTCTGGCTGGGATGGAGTTAATTTTCTTCGTAACACCCCTGGGGTTTGGGTGTTCTTAGCATAACAGTGTTGATAACACACCCATCTCTTGGCTATTGTGCAGTGCCCGCACGGTGTCCAGGTTTTCTCTTTTTCCCCGACTCTGCCCCCATCAGCGAGTAGGCTGGGGTGGGCAGGAAGCTGCAAAGGGACTCAGCTGGGACAGGTGACTCCAACTGACCAAAGGGATATTCCAGACCCCATGACATCGTGCAGGGCAATAAATGCTCAGGAAAAGGATGAGGAAGGGGGGACCTTCGTGGTTATGGCATTTGTCTACCCAAGCAACCATCACACACGCTGAGGCCCTGCTTTCCAGAAGTGGCTGCTGACAGAGAGTAGTGACTAAATTCCTCCTCTTGCTTTGCTTGAATGCACGACTTTGCTTCATTTCACCTATTAAACTTCTACCTTGATCCACGAGTTTTCTTGGTTTTGCTTTTCCTATTCTCCTCCTCCCATCCCGCTGGGGGTGTATGAACGAGCAGCTGTGTGGGCACTTAGCTGCTGGCTGGGGTCAACCCACATCATATCATTTAGGGAAATCTAACTGGCAAAAAGCCACTCTGGGATGCAGAGAACGGGACTACACCACAGCACTTATGAGGCGATTCAATCTATTATAATAACTATTTACTGTTACCTAGCAGTACCACTTTGGCTTTCAGTAGCACCACGCAAGAATGTAAAAAGGTGGCTTATAAATCCTACCTTCTCTTCAGTTGTCCTAAACTTATACATGGAATAATAACAACCCCGATAGTTTGCAAACCTCTGGACACTAGCATTAGGCTGCAATATCACAAGTAGTAGTTTCCTATTTAAGATACTTGCTTGTCAGATTCCTGATACATTCTTTTCTGAATTACGGCAATACAACTCTTGGAAGGTTAATAACTTCTCATGGAACAATAGTTTTCCTGTATTTTAAAAGCATAAACTATAAGAAAATTAAATATAAGCCATGAATAAAACCAAGTCTACACATTTAATACTGAAGACTGTTTCAGAAACTTAAAAAAACCCCAGCACAGCACAGTTGCAGAGGATTAGAAATTGTGTTCACAAAAACTGGCTTCAGCTTAAAGGAAACCAGGGTCTTTTACAGGGTGAAGGGAACAAAGGCATGATTTCAGAAGTTCCCTGTTAAAAGAAAAACTTAAACTAGCTCTTGAAATAACCCCCAAAGTTTATTTTCCCAGTGCTGAATACCCTCACTGCTGTTTTCCCATGCTGAATATCCCACTTCAGAACATCCTCATTCGAAGGGACAAAATTTCAAAAGAATCAAATTATTTTCTGAAGAATCAAGGTTACTAACTGTACTCAGCCCTTTCAAGCAAACAAAACGTTGTCCTCCTCTAGAGTGTGGGAAACAAGACACTAGAAAGAACGACATATTTATTAAGCCTTCACAGGATGTCTATATGTACCATGTGCAAAGTTGCATTTCACTGCCAATCTAATTACCTTTGTAGATAGTCACTTGAATTCAGGAAAAGCAGTTTTATCCAGCAAAACACCCAAACTAATACATCCACACAGGTCTTATTTCAAGTGCTCAAGTGTTTGCCTCAACTGGAGCCTACATTATTAGCCAGAAATACTAGGTCTTTTTGAGCAGACCGTAACAGGGAACTTTTGTCCCAATAGAATTCTTCTGGAAAAATATTATTCGGTGCAATAACACTTTCACATATATGAAATATAGCTGTTTTGTTGTAATAGGTCTTTAAAGCTCATGGCATAGTATTACACACCACCTCCTTGCTTTGACTGTCTTAATGTAAGTCCAACTGATCTAAATTTATTACCTGATATCTGAGAGCTGGAGTTGATGAGAAAGTTCAAATTTTAAACGTTCTAGTTCTTTTCTAAGTGGCAAACTCTTTTTCAGCTTTTTTACTGCACTTGCTTCATTATCATCTAGCCAGGATCTGAAACAGGAGGAAAAAACAACAAGAGTAGAGGCATTCTGTATCATGTTTCATTCAAACAGTACAACTAACTGAATTCTTACTGTTAAGATTAATGTTTTATTTCAAGCTGCCAGGTAAAGGGGTTTTTTTAAAAGCAGAGAATGGAAGCCGAAATTGCCAAATGCTTCACCTTAAGATATCTACAAAGGAAAACCTGGCACTTAATGTCTTTGGGGGGGACTAGGGAATCAAATTGAACCAAAAGACACTGACAGTGTTACAACCATAAGACTTTGAAAAGCGTGAAAAGTGTAGAAGAGCAGATTAGTGTGATTTAGGGGGTCAGCTTCAGAACTTAGTGCTTAAATTAAAGAAGTGTGCCACATATGTGCCTTTAAAAAAACCAAACCCATAACCAAAGTGATCATAACAGACTATCAAATAAGCGAGGTGGTACTAAAGGGCCAAGTTAGGTAACTCCTACAGAACTGTGATGAACATAGATTAAACAGGTCAAAGTTTTACAGTTCTTTTGTCAATAATCACAACCAGGCAAACACAACTCATGGAGCACATCGAAAACTTTCAATAAATAGAAAACTTTATTTCTAGGAAAAAACCACTCTAAGAGATTTAGCTTCTGTTCATAGCATAAACTTATTTTCATACTCTTATTTTGACAAATACTTCCATTCTCCTACTGCATTCTAACCAAAAAGAAATTCAAACTCAGAAGCCAAAAGAGAGGCCCAATGTCCAATGACTAGGTATTAAAACCAGACTGTTAATATGTAACTGTTTGTGGCATTTCTTGTAAATGTGTAAAAATAGGTAAAAATATTCTCTATGTTAAACCTCAGTTAAGTGTTTTACAGTAGTATTACAGTAGTTTCATTTGCGAGGTGCTAGACAGGATGAGGGGTATTCTTCGCTCTGAAGATACTACCACCACAGTTCTGCACGTATGTCAAATGACACTTAAGTCTCATTGTTATAAAAAGTTTTTTCAAGTCAGTATTTTTCACCCTTCCCCCAAATGAGAACATACAGAGTTTATAAACAACCAACTTCTAATACACAACACGCTGCATTTAATGTAAGTTCAGTATTTATAACTGCCTCAATTTAAATATTAGGGTTGGTATGCTGAACAACAAATCAGAAGCACACCAATAAGATATCTGGCAAATTAAAACATTCTAACCCTAGTTTTCATGTATTATTCTTCCTTACCCCCCAAAAGAATGTGATAACAAAATACTAACAATAAAGTTAATAGCTTCATAGTTTTGTGTTACAGAAGTCCTGTAACGTGTAAGGAGCCACTGGGGGCAAGCCTCCTTCTGAATCACCAACAATATTTCACAAAAATGAAAAACTAGATCAACCAAACATGAATGCTGGGCAAAGAGACAAGAATGCCTCTGCTTAGCTGGCATTATAGGTATCCCAGAAACTTATTTGAACTCTAATTATAAAAAGCGTGACAGAATTACATGTTGGATAATAAAGTTTTGTATTGTTCAGAATGTTTATTGATTGCCTTTAAAAAACTCAGCATTAGAACAAGACCAATTTGGGTTACAAAAGATCAGTTAAATAAAAGCCGTACATACATTAAAGTTGTTTCCACTCTCTGGGCTTGTTCTAGTTCCTCCTCAGGGTCCTTGAATCCAGTAAATGAATAGTAAGTCTTATCCCATTTGATAGGTCTGTTGAGTGTGCCTTTTGCTTCCTTGTGGGGCTGAGAGTTCACATTCAAACTTTGAACATGCTCCGTAGATAAACTGCAGGAGTTGAGAATATCTAATACTGTGCTCAGGAGATCCCTAGTATGTAATGTAAAACTGACTGCTCGAAACCCTACAAAACACAAGTCCCACAAAATTAGTATTATTTAATTAAAATGATTTTAAATGCATTCATATTTCTCTTATCTTACAAGAGCCCAAGGAAGGTGTGCATAGTTGGAAAATATTATGATATTGTTATTTCAATACTCACTGCAAAATTCACATGCAGTTTAACCTTGAAAACTGTTGTGTCCAAAAACAGAGAGAGCTATTTTAACTATCTGAATCATTGGACAAATTGGAAACCTAGCTACAGATGCAGCATAACCTAAAAAAGGATGTTTTCATTTTAGCAGTGGCAGTTTTGTCCAACAGCTCTACACAATTCACGTTATTACTGATCATCACTCTGGATCTAATTTACTGTAGAAGCACAGTACTACAATGGCTCTTCACAGGCTACAAATAGAACCTTCAGAACAAAACATTATACTTGCATACTGCCTAAAAGCCTGAAGTTCCATCACTTAGCTATTGGGCCTAACTACCCCATTAGAAAGCAAGTATTAGACTCAAGAGCAAAACACAGCTGCCAGTTTAACTGTTATTTTAAGTAGACTGGACACAACACTACTATTTTGTTAAAAAACAGTATGATTTTGTTTTCTAGCACTAGGGTCCCTCAGAATTTTCTCAAGTGTTTTCACTAACAGGATATAGAACACAAAACTCGTCAGTTAGATAAGGCATATTGGTATATCAGAGACAAATATGTAGAATAAAATTAACTAAAACCAATATTCCAAACAGCAACATTTTCTGTAGTTTCAAAGCTAAGAGACAATGTGGTAAACTGAAGCTTCAGACATTATATAACTTCTGCTTACAGAATCAGTTCCTACTGATCCTAAAAGCACCCTGACACTGTGTACTACATATCATCTGCAATGAAAACAAGGACCCAAACCTGTTGTTCCACTTAAACACCACAATGGTATTAAAAGCAGGAAAATTATCATTTACATCAACCTATGTTTTTTACTTCCTCATACTGTAACTTGACCTCAACTTCGTAATTTCTCATTCTTTGAATGCTTTTTAAAGCTTAAGATGTTTAATTACTTGGGATGGTCCTTGCTGTCTGATCTAATACATATTTTCATGTTTGACAGGATTTTATTCAGTTGAAAAGTCATCATGACTACACAAAGCTAAATAATGATCTGAAAAAATTTAAATACAGGAAGATATATTCTGCAAGATATAAAAGCACCTGAAGCACTGAAGGATTCTTGAACATTAGAAGAGTTTGGTTCTCTTTCTCTTACATAAAAAGTAAGCTGAGTTGGCTTAAAGGAGCGAAATCCTGGTTTCTGTAGATTCTCCAAGTAGCCATTTAACCTCTTCAGAGAGTTTTCATTTACTTCCTGTTTAAAAAAAGAAAAACCCACAACATTAGAAATTATGAATTTGGCTACTTTTCATCTAAACCTCTTAATCCTACATGCAGAATTAGTTTCTACAAACCGCCAGCTGCTCTTAAGAAGTAGTGATATAGTTCATATTCTCAGCATAAATGAATATTATCTTGCATTAATAAATTGTATGATGTACATACTTGTACATTCCAAAACACCACTTTTAAGGTTGTCAAGCTTAGAGGAATCCATTGATCCAAATATAATGCACAGCATTTCAAAGTGATAAAGTAATATGTATTATAAATTAGACTGGAAGGACTCAGTATTTTCTTTATAACAATTAAACAGAAAATATGACTAATAAATAACGGGTGTTGAAGGGATCCATCCTTGTTCAAAATAAAGAAAGTACATCTTTTTGTTCTCTGGTAACAACTGCATTCCCTTCTAATACTACTTTTGATTCTCTGACAGCAGGAAAACCAGAAAATTTCCATCCTTGACATATGACACATTTACAAAGAAAGCACACTAAAAGATTTTTTACCCTCTCTTTGGGATGCTGGCCAAAGAAATCTGGATGCACAGCAAAATAGAAAGGTCTGAGAGCATTGATGGCATCAGCTCCTGACAAAGTTCTTGACTGCAGAATGCTTTGCAGCAATATCTTCTCCAGACATAACCTAATAAAGCAATAAAATGTTTATGTATGATGCAACCAATCAAGTGATATAAATTACATTAGAACGTGACAGCATGGAGTAAACATTCACAGTTGCAAGTATAATCATTTAAAACTGAACAGAAGTCTGATTTCTGGGTTTTTCCCCTTGGGACTCACAAAGCTGTATTTATACAGAGCAAATCCAACAGGTTTGAGAAATGGTGGATCATAACAACTGATTAAAGACATGTAAATAAGTACAATAATTTTCTCTCCACTTTCTCAAAGCAGGCTCAAATAAAAATTCTCCATTCAAGTAGTTCAAGTGATAAAAACTGGCTTTAGTGGTATTTTTTGTAGCTATTGCTGAAGCTGGTCTTAAAAACCAACCTTTACATACTTTTGAACCTCCAAGTTAAAAAGTAAAACCCAGTATTTTTCAAGTGGTGCCAAAATAACATTAATTTTTACCCAGCAATAATAATCACAATTCAACCAAAGAAGTTCTACATTAGTTTCTGAGGTCCACGTATTTGTGTCCATTTAAAAAATAAATAAATCTACTTTCCCAAACATACTCTTCTATAGAAGACATCAAGTAAAGAGACAGAACTTTTTTGTCCTTTGATTTTCACTGAAATAGAAGAAAACAAGGACAAAAAGGAATTTCAGTGGTAGGAAAAGATTGTTTCACCCAAGATCAGAAGGAATAGTTAAGTTGAGGAAATTCGAGGAAGTTCAGAAAGTACAAAAGATTGGATACCTCAAATTATGCATAAATTAAACAGTTCTGCAAAGAGTATGCTTGTGTAACAGAACGCTGAAATGGAAGGAAAAACAAGTTCTGAATTAAGGACCACCAAAATTTCCTGCCATAGCTCAAAGCTGACATTAAGGATAGCAAACTAATTACCAAGAAACAGTATACATAAAAGCAGCAAGAAAATGTGAATTGTTAAATATTTAATAACAGTTTCTTCTTTCAGCTGATTTCACAGGCTAACAAATTCAACGGGTCAACCATTGTCTCTGTGATTAATGTTCATTTTACTTTGCAACTCAGAAGGGTAGGGATTTTGGTCTGTTAAGCAATACAATGCTGTTTCCCTCCTCACAGTATCATTCAAACTGCAAGCCTCGAATAGGAAAATACATAGCAGATTGGAGGCAAAGCTGCTTCCAGTTCACATAAAACTAATAACTTCATTAATAGTAAGCAAGACTGTTTTACAAAGAGTTATTTGTTCAGTATCCTAGACCAAATAATTGTCCTGAACACAGAAATATGAGAGACTATTTCCCAACGGCTTTCATTAATTTAAAAAAAAAAAAATAAAAAAATCCCCAAATTTGTGTTCAAACAATAAACAGTATTTTTCATTTTGGCAAATGGTAGAGTAAATGACAACAGTTGAGTTGTCAAGCAGATGCAGTGACCCTTACTTTACCTTTTTTTCTGTCAACCTTTCCAGCTCTTCAATTAGAAACATGCAAGCAGTTAAAGCTAATGTTTTCTGTCTAAGAGGTGGGCAAATATTTAATTAGGAGGTCTTCAAAGTCAGGTTGCTGAAAACAGGAGAAGTTTTCGTAGAAAAGTGGGATGGAAAACCTGTAATGTACAACGACTGATGAAATTTCAAACTGGTGTGACTAAAACCTATTTTCATGTGCGTGGATTAAAAGGAAGATTAAAAAAAAGATAAAATGTATTACTGCAAACACTTGTATCTTCGTCAGAAAGACTCTAAGACTAGTCACTATAGCCCATGATCCTACTCCAAATAGCAGGAGATGGTGAAGTACCACAGCAATATCATATTCTTACGGAGAGCAAAAGCTCTCAATGACGAGAACATGCAAGAGTTGCTCAGTGACACAGGAAAAAAAAACCCTCTACCTGACCTGGCAAGAAAGGAAGCAAAGCACACCGGATACAAGTCCACTTGGACATATGGAACATTTTGGATCTGGAAATATCAAAATAATAGTCTTGCTGAGAAAAAAAAAAAAAAAAAGCAGAAATTTTGTTTGGTTGGGTTTTTTTTAGCAAATGGACATAAAGCAGTAAAAAGGAAAAAGATTCTTTGCAATAAAGGAACAAAAAGTAAATTAACCAGCTACCTATCTGATAGCATTTTTTACTAATTGCCACACAAGAAACCCACATTCTCCTAGACCCAGCTGCTAAGAGGAAGGAGCTCAGTTCTCTCCACCTTATTTGTGCACTATTTCCCACATCCACTCCCGAGCTACACTGCACGCTGTTTCCAGTAGCTAGGAAGAAAAATTCCAACATACCTGGAAACCATTAATCACACTTTCAAGTTTATTAATCATAAACTTGCATCTGGTATTCTACCAGAAAAATGGCCAAGTATGGTTAACTTTAGTTCCCTTGTTTTGTATCTAAACACCACTGTCATGCTAGTAGGAAGGCTCAGGATTCCAGCCAAAAGTCTATTTTGAACTTGCTTAAAAGAGAAACGCTCAAAGGCCAAAATTAGTCTGTGTGACAGAAGGAAGAATTCATTCACTGAAGGTGAAAGACAGAACTCTGAGGCATCCTTCAAGTGAAATGACAAAATAAATGAATTGAAATGAAGTTGGAGAGAGAGAAAATGCAAGAAAGATGCATATCGCTTCGCTCACAAGGAGCAAGGATTGTTCCAAGAACTTTGTTCAGATTTGAAGAGCAAAGACAGGCTTCGCGTTAAAATCAAGGTCATAATCACTTTGAGGACAGCCATCTCCACTTCGTGAAAGATGTGAAACACAATCCCTGCTAGAACACATTATGCAATCGTACTCTAGGACTGATTTAATTTATTGATTAAATAATTCCCTTCAGCTTTCTTACTTTTTCTTCACATCTCTCTGAAGTTTAACTTTTTGCCTTATAGCTTTGACACTGAAAAGCTTTGTTAAATTAAGCTCATTATTACAGATATAGTCACTCATTTTCAAACACCGAGCTTCAATAACTCAATAATGCAATAATATATGGGATATTATATTCAGATTTAGACTATCACTTTCTCATAATTAAGCTATTTTAAAGCCCTTGTTTTGTTGAGAGCCTTTTTAGTATCTCACTCGAAGACAAGCATATGGCTTTTGGAGATTTTCAGCTGTGGATGCTCTGTTGAAAGCTTCAAGCTGTAAAGATGAGAAGCCAAAGAAGCATTAAACAAAAATACCAAACTAATTTTACATACATGCAAGTCTTAAGCAAACATTTAAACATATGCTAAAGGTAAGTTAGGTCACAGCAACATGCCATACCTTTTCACGGCTCTAAAGCAGCAAAACATTTCAGCAACTCAATGGTCAAGCCAACTTTCAGCCATCCACTAACTCACTTAAAAAAAAGAAAAAAGTCCTGTTTAGCAATGGACATGAGTATGTTCCCCTGTTACTTACCCTTGCATTCACTAAATCCTAGGTGATAACTTTTAAAGTCACAACACTAATACAAAACTGAGAAATCACACATAAAACCTAAAGTTTTGCATAAGAATGTTTTCAGTTTCCTCCACTAACAGTGAGTCTTACAAGTATTAAGAGTTGTCACCATATTTTGATTTGAAGATGAATATTTAAAGATGTTCCAGTTAGGGGAAAAAACCCTAAGAAATTCTTTATTGAAAACGTTTCTCACTCTTCTTGATGTTCAGTTTTTGTCTTAAACACAGAAACAAAAAAATAGAAGTGTTCTTTAAGCACCAACACATACCAGCTCATGGAATTCCACATAGATTTCTACTCTAAGTCCAAAGCTTTCAAACAAATGATAACACTTTAAAATTTATATGCCAATTATTTTATGGGGGCACAACATAAAAGCAAAGAGAAAGACACTGTCACACAACAGTGCCTGGAAATCTTTATCAAAAGTTTCATAAAAATGAATCAGCAATTTTTACCAGTAACTTCTGCACTATGCAACTGTAACTGAGAGTCTTCCAACAGGAGATAAACCACTTAGTGTGGCAGTGCAAACCTATACCCAATTATTGGGGATTATGAGGGAAGCTCCCTATTGGCAATGTTTTCTCATATATTTTCATGCACTTTTTTTTTAAATATACTTTTTTTTTTTGTACTTTTCAAATTAACATGCTTCCACCAAGTATGCCATTTTAAAGCACCCGGGATGAGCAGTGATCAGAGAAATACCATCCCTGTTCAATGCAGCAGGATAGTTCCTGCGACTATTTTGCAAAACACTTTTATAAGTTTTAGAAGTGCATCATACTAATACAAATATACTTCACTAAGAATATAAATTGTTTACCAAATACTTTACTAGAGGCAAATAGGGTGAGGAAAAAAAAAATACACTGAGCTAAAATATCCCCAAAATACTTTATAAATTTTGTCTTCTGACTTTCAACTAGATGGGTAAGACAATAATAATTTCATTTTTAGCGTCCCTAACAACAGTCCTAATCATAAACTAACTTGAGTACATTAACAGGCTCTCTGGTAATAAAACAGTTTTCTCCCTGTGTAATTTTAGCTTCAGAGATTTGGACAGAGGATGGAAAAACCCCAAGAATCTCACTAATCTGTGGTGACACTTTATATAACCAGACAAAAGCATCATTGTTTCTTGTTTTAAAGGCTCTACTAACTGCTTAGAAATTGTTACATTGCTTAGTTAGAAAAGAAAACCTCCTGGTTTTGAGTAAGTGTCACCTGCACCCCACCCCACCAAGATACGCTCACCAACACAAAACAAAATATGAATGATGTTGCAGTCATTTCGAAAAAGCCTCTGGCAACGCGCCATCGCATGCTACTGCCTCACCACTCAAACCGAGATCATCCATTTCAGCTGTTTACCTGCGCTCGACCCTTAAGGCAGTATATGAAGAAAACAGTTTGAAAACAAACCAGATGACGGTGAAAATAAGCTTCGGTGAAGCTGACTGACGCACCGCTTGAAAGACAGTAAGCTCGGGTGATCTCACCGCTGATAGTTTTAACTGTGTAAAGCAGAGCCCTGATAGAATTTCACGTTAAAATTCACTAACGGGAAGGACACCGGTCTTT